TGGACTGTATCGATATTGATGTTCTGTTGTTCTGGTAATAAGATAGTGGGAATGGGTGAGATGTTGTGATGTCGAGAGTGTGATTGTTTTTATAACCGGGTTACTCAATGTCAGCTGACATGTGAACTGGTAGGTCAGTCAGACAGTCGGACAGTCAGTCAGTTAGTCAGTCGGTCAATTAGTCAGGCGGTAGTAAGGCAGTCGGTCAGTTTGATGGTCGCTTTCTTTCACACGTCACACCATACTACTGATGAGTAAGACAAATCGGATGGTCAAATTTTCAATTTGTTGTCATAACTTCACACCTTCAACTATTGAGAGTTAACACTCGTGTTCCAATGAAGTGTCAGTGTCGTTATGATGTGTCACACACTACTGACTACACACAGGGTAAGTGGTATAGAGGGTCGGTTTACATTTCAACAACTGTATCAATGAATGACTGAACAACGTATGGATTGGCGCATACACGATCAGTGCAATAGTGAATGACCAATGATGTGCATAATGTGTGTTGATTGGTTCACATTGGTATGATGAGAATTTGATGATTGATAATTCACAGTAGTCGCTCGTCGGGCAATGGAGGTGGTTACTTCGTTACGGTAAATTACGCCTGCTTCGGTGGGTGGCCTGCCTAACCAGTGGGCCGAAAGGACCACCTTCTCCATCCCGTCATTTTCATCGATATCATCGCTCACTAATGCACACGTGAACACCCTCACACATCCATATACGAAGTGTAGAGGATTCACTCCAACAGTTCATGTCCATTCTACTCTCTCTTTCATTCCTCTACTACGTTCGACATGAACAGGTGACTCATCTCGGAACACGCCAATCATCAGTGCGAACATTATAGGAAACGATGTAGAAGTAAGATAGTGATGAGGTGGACAATGTGGGGAAGACGGTGAAATACCACTTTTATATACCATTCACACACTGCTCCTCCATTGGTTTCCCATATGATCTCCCGATTCTCCAGAATTGTTCCAACATTCCTGTGTCTGTTGCTGATGTACATATGCACAGACACACACATAAACATTCTATTATCAGTGTCGACAGTCGACCGTTTGAATCGATATAACAAGTCGGTTAAGCGCTTCCACCTCCTTCATTCTATACTCTTTCTGTGCACACTCATCAGTGACATGACGGTCGAGTGAAGACTCTCTATTTATTTCAATCTGTGTATGGTTAATTAGATAGTTAGTCAGTCAGTAATCTAATGATTTCCTTATCCCAGTGATTGATGGCCAGCGGGAATTCTTTGTGATATTCTCAACACAGAAATAAAACAGATCAAATTAATGGTTGTTACATATGGAATGTGAGAAAATTCCTTCAACCGACAATTGACAGAATGTTACGGTTAACACGGGAACACTTGGAAAACAGTTACTGAAGAGTGTTCAGTGCATTGGCTTTGTGGATGTAAATATGGAGAGAGGCGAATCGATTATATGTTTTAATGTATAGGGCCAGTGAAATGTCGCTGAGTCCTAGCCAAATCCTCCATCGAGCTGAACCGTGTTTTACGTTCGACGGCAGATCACTGAACGTTGAACAATTCGCTGAACATCATCACCGTCGAGTATGACTAATGCGGATGAATCAGTTGGATATCACAGACTAGTCCATGTGACAGCGTCATTACTGTGTACCTCTCTAGTCTGTTCTTCCCGATAAGCTATGCTTTTCGTCAAGATTCCATCCCTTCTAGATAGTCACTAAGGGAGCCGCATTGACTGCCTATCACGATAGTGTAGGCCAAGTTAGGTATTTATCGTGAGGTGTGACTTCGATGTAAGTTAGGAGGCTACACCATTCCTTTTCAGCTCGAGTAGACTCACCACCAACATTGATAATCTACACATGAGTGTGTGAGTTGTAGTTACGTGAGGGACACAATACGCAAGACCATACTGTGTGTGTGTGAGTGGTTTTGTCTGATTAATTGACGGAGGATTGAGTGTTGGTGATGAGTACAGAGCAGTCGACCAGCATTGGATTTGTGTTGAAGATGATGTGTGAGATGAAAGAATGAAGAAGAACACAATCGCCTGATTATCATACTCCGTGACACACAGTCGGTCGATTGTAGTGGAAATACACAAAGTGGTGTGAATATACCTCTAAGATTACACAATGGAGTGAAACACTGGAGAGCAGTGATACCCTGTTTACTCTATTGAAATCGAGATGGTATTAACTGATCACAGGACACGAAAATCTTGGTTTCTTAGTGGGATAGCTCAATAAGCATTGTCAAATATCAGTTCGATTGACTGTAGATGATGGATGTGGAAGTCTATGGACTGTATCGATATTGATGTTCTGTTGTTCTGGTAATAAGATAGTGGGAATGGGTGAGATGTTGTGATGTCGAGAGTGTGATTGTTTTTATAACCGGGTTACTCAATGTCAGCTGACATGTGAACTGGTAGGTCAGTCAGACAGTCGGACAGTCAGTCAGTTAGTCAGTCGGTCAATTAGTCAGGCGGTAGTAAGGCAGTCGGTCAGTTTGATGGTCGCTTTCTTTCACACGTCACACCATACTACTGATGAGTAAGACAAATCGGATGGTCAAATTTTCAATTTGTTGTCATAACTTCACACCTTCAACTATTGAGAGTTAACACTCGTGTTCCAATGAAGTGTCAGTGTCGTTATGATGTGTCACACACTACTGACTACACACAGGGTAAGTGGTATAGAGGGTCGGTTTACATTTCAACAACTGTATCAATGAATGACTGAACAACGTATGTATTGGCGCATACACGATCAGTGCAATAGTGAATGACCAATGATGTGCATAATGTGTGTTGATTGGTTCACATTGGTATGATGAGAATTTGATGATTGATAATTCACAGTAGTCGCTCGTCGGGCAATGGAGGTGGTTACTTCGTTACGGTAAATTACGCCTGCTTCGGTGGGTGGCCTGCCTAACCAGTGGGCCGAAAGGACCACCTTCTCCATCCCGTCATTTTCATCGATATCATCGCTCACTAATGCACACGTGAACACCCTCACACATCCATATACGAAGTGTAGAGGATTCACTCCAACAGTGCATGTCCATTCTACTCTCTCTTTCATTCCTCTACTACGTTCGACATGAACGTGTTGTTTTCTCGCATTTTTTCCTTTCCTTCATCTGCTCTTTGATTTAGCGTTTTTCGGTAGCCGTTTTTTTCTTACGTTTGTTTAGACAATAATAAATTCTCGCGACCAGTTTTAGCTGGTGCACATGTACAAGTGATTTTCTTGATGTACATCGATATTGTCGTCTGAGAAGTTTATTCGCAACACATCCATGAATGTGAGATCGGCTTGATGAGACAGTATGTACCCTATCTAAATAGAAGTTTTGATTTTGGTACTTTAAATTCCTTTTATTTATGATATCGGCAGATGTATTTCCTTTAAATATCATTTGAATAAAACGAGTTTTCCTACGAATTGTAGATGCTTATTCGGGATATTGTCGTTGTGTTAAGTTCTTATCGACAATCCTTGGTGTAAAGCAATTTCTGATGAATATCCTTGGAAGCCGAAGTAGTTCGTCACTTGTCATGTCATTAGAACATATTTTAGTCCTCGAGGATAAAGAGTGAATTAATTTTCTCTTTTTACTCAATGGAAGCGAACTATCGAAACTCATATACTGACGAGTCCAGGTTAGTTTTATTATATAGATATCTGTAAAGAATCATCTGACCTTCTTTCCAATCGGACATCCAGAAAATGCATTTCCTTATTCGCTTCTATTGATGTTATTTTTTTTGGATGACTTCTTATTTCTATTTTCTATTAATCAACTTTTCAATGTTAATTCTTATTTATTTTTAAAAAAAATACTTTAAGGGTTCAATATTACCAAACTAACATTTTATCACTAAATGATCACTCTGAAATTCATTTAGAATAAACATATAGAGATTTGTCGTTACTATTATTAAATAGATAAATATGTATACCTTATTGAATAATTTATGTATTCAAAAACAATTTGTTCTTACGCTTTACCTACCTTGGTAATACTGATTTATTATCCAGAGTGATCACATTGTTTTTGTGTACTTTATTTATTTTCTTTCTTTATTACGGCTTACCTTTAACCTGTCTAGTTGACCTTTTAATTTTTATATAAAAATGTCTTAACAAGCATATATGTGATCAGATTGTTAGAAATGTATCTTAGATGGGGTTTTGTGGAGATTTAGTATTTCTTATAGTTGAAAGCGTGAGTCAATTGAAGCTAGACCACTATGGAAAACCTGGAAACACTGGACGGCCGCTTCGTCCTATTATGGGACTCCTCAGCAGTGCACATCCACAAACCCGCTCTCGCTTCGGCTCGAGACTGGTAGGTCCTGGGTTCGAATCTCGCGAGAGCGGGATCGTGGATGCGCACTGCTGAGGAGTTCCATAATATGACGAGTTGGCCGTCCAGTGCTTCCATGTTTTCGATGGTGGTCTAGCTTCAATTGACTCATGAATTCAACTATGAAAATACTAAATCTCCACAAAACCCCTTCTGATAAAAAATTTAAATATTTAACTAATTAATATTCCTAGAAAAACATTTTCAAGAAGAATTTTTTTTCTGTTCTCTGTTTTTTTTCTTTTTTTACAATGAATTTTAATTAGAAGTATTTTGTAACTATCATGTTTTTTTATTTCTTCAAATGAGTGTCTGAAAAGAAGAAGTGTTTTTCTTTATAATTTCAAATGACGTCTATATTGCTGTTACGTAATTAGATACAGCATAGTATATGTGTGATTTTTGTCTAAGAAAATATAAGTCAAAAGGGAATGATTATATATTATATAATCGTATAATAATTTTTAATGAGATTCATTTAATAATTTGCATAATTATTAGTGTCACGTATTTCTAATATTGTACCATTGGTTAAAATCGTCAAGTTGATTATTTATACCTGAATACTCAATTATAAATATATACCGTTTAAAACTTGAATATAAATGATTCTATAAGAATAAAGAATGACTTCTAAAGAAAAGGATTCAAATGTACTACAGTTACGTTGTAATCATGATTCTATTCGACAAACATTACAATATCAACAACCTAATAATCAACCAATTAATGTTGATCAATTGTATGAAAATGTTGTAGGTGCTTGTGGTATTTGGCAATGGTTTACAGCAATTTTAGTAATGTTTAGTAGTCCATCTACACCAACATTTCCTGTATTTGCAAATTCAATACCAAAACAACGTTGTCGTTTACCTAATACTATAGAAAATATAATAAGTTTAAAGAATTTATCATTGGAACAAGTTGGTATTATAATTGGTCCATGGAAAAATAAAACTGATTCAAATTATACACAAATGAATGGATGTTATCAATATAAATTAAACTGGACAGAAAATTTATTTGAAGAAGTAATTCATACCTATTTAAAAGGATCATTTCAATCAAGATTTGTGAATTATCAAATAATTCCATGTCAAAATGGATATGTATATGAATTAAATGATCTGCAGTATCCTGGAAGTGTAGTAATTGAATTTGATACAGTCTGTCAACAAAACTGGTTTGTACCATTAGGTTCATCAATTTATTTTGTTGGAATGATGTTCGGATTTATTTTTGGAGGTTGGGCTGGTGATCAGTTTGGACGAAAAAAATCATCAATAATTCTAGCGATAATTGAATTTATATTCAGTATTTGTACATCATTGTCACCTAATTACATAATTTATATATTGTCTAGAGCAATTGTTGCCATAGCAAATATAGGCAAAGTTACAGTTTTAAATGTGTTAGTGATGGAAATGACTATAGCTAAATATCGTTCATATATTGGTGCTGTAATGGCATTGGGATACAATTTCCTTCTGAGATCATTAATATCATTACAAGCATATTTCATACCGAATTGGAGATGGTTAAATTTGTCTGTAATGGCACCTAATTTATTATGTATTCTGTATTTTTGGTGTTTAGTTGAATCACCAAGATGGTTATTGTCTAAAGGTCGACGTATTGACGCACTAAAATCATTACAGTTTGCTTATAGAGCTAATCATTTTCATACAGGAAAAAGCATGAAGTCCACATATATACTTGATGGAATGATTCGACAAGAAGAAGAATTACAGGAAAGTGAGCAAGAACGTGCGTGTACTCCACACAGCTATTCGGACATAACCAATATTCAAAAAACAAATCCGAATAATAATAAAAGATCTTTTATGAAATTTTTAACGTCATTTTTTCTACCATTTTCTACTAGACAATTAGCTAAAAATACTATTCTTGGAGTAATTTTATTCAGTGGTGAAGTAATGACATTCTTTGGTTTATTGCTTTACGCTCGTGCTGTACGTGGAAATGTTTACTTAGTTAGCTTTATCAATGCGTGCACAACTATACCGGCTTTGTTTTTGTCAACAATACTATATCGTGTTATACGTCATCGTAAACCTCCATTATTTTTTGTTTACACTGTAGCGTTTAGCATTTTATTATCATGTGGTTTATACACCTATATATTTAATCCAGAAGGTGATTTAATCCTTGCTATAGGATCAAATTTATCACTTATATTTCTTGCTGCTGGTTTGTTTATGCTTTATATATATGTGCCTGAATTATATCCATCTGTTATGCGATCTCAAGGATTCGGAACTGTGGCTGGATTAGGTCGAACTGGTAGTATATTGTGTACGTTTATTAATCAATTAGATATTACCGTTGGACATGGTTTACCCTTAATGATTTATTCAGTTGTAATTTTTATGCAGTTAATTTTATTATATGTTATACCAGATACAAGTGGTGAAAACTTACCTGATGTGATAGCTGAAAAATTGCAACCGAACTTGAAAAGTGTAAACAATATCAAAGATTCAGTATTTTCAATATCGGAAGAAGTGGAAATTACAAGAATATGAGTGATTTTCAATTTATTAGACTTATTTGGTATTTCAGCTTATACTCTTACTCATCCTTACGTCAGTTCACTTTCATAACTGTATAATTTCATTAGTAGCCTAGTTGAAAATACCGAATATTAAGAAACATATAAATAATTTCAAAATAGATTCTTAAATATCAAGTTTTGTCTTTTTGATGAATAAACTTGTAAAAAGAGAAAATATTCTGTTTTTTTCTATTTGTTGACTGAACTAGAAACAGTAAAATCGTCTTATGGGATGTCTGTGGTAGACTACTTTATATGGCATTCTGTACCTCAGGTAGTGACAACTATAGATCAACTCGTCAAGTAGGAATTTTCAACTTCTTCGAATCATCAAAATTTATTCTGAAACAACAGTTGTTTAAAAATGAGACAGCATATAGATTTTATCGAATAACATGTACCAGTTTACAGTAATAATGGAATGAAATCCAACGACAGTGTTTTGTCCTATTCGGGACTCTTTTTGCCGATTGTCCCTGAATTTCACTGATATCTACACTGTACATTTTCCCGAAAACTTGCAATCAAAAGACGGTGCTGAGATATGTACTTGTAAAATGAATAATCCAATAGCTGATCAGCTGAGGTTTTTAGTCCCAACAAATTGTCGACTCTCTGCATTCCATCCTCATTTTTTCTACAGTTCATAATGAAAGAAAACCTGAGGACTTTATAGTGAGATTAAGATCTACCTTAAGGCTTCATGCAATCAAATAGCACAATTCCATTAAACTAAAATTTGACTCAAGTCTAGAGTTAAATATGTCTGTGAATTTGAATTTACTAATAATAGCGTTACCTCCTCACCATAAAAAATAAGGATATTGGATCCTTTTATTTATAAAATAGATAATGGTAGTAAAAATGGTACAAGGAAACTACCCTTGAGTGTTTTCTGTACCTCATCGTTCCCTGACGCACAATTTTTAAACTTCCTTTACAAATCATCATTATGATTATTTCCAAATAATTATTTCTATGCAAATACTTCATTGATTTTTTGTTATTTATGTTATATAATACTCATTAGGAACCTCCGCCTATTTTCCTAAACTAACTTCATATTCCAATATGTTAATCATAATACTAATTTAAGTTGTAATGGTCTTTTCTTTTTATCCTATTTTGTAATATTTTGATCAGTCATAATCGACATATCCTACATTCTGTGTGGATCCCTTCGACACAACCATTATATCATCAGTTTAAAAGAATATAAATGTGGTTAACCACATTCCATATGTTCATATATTTATATGTACCATTCTATTAAAAATACTTATAAACTCAATTATTTCGAGAGAAACAAAAAGAAAAAAGAAAAAAACGAACAGACATCTTGAAATTATAGAAATAAGAACATAAAATTATTTATATAAATAAATACAGATTCATAAAAATGTTTATATATGTGAATTGATTTTATACTTGTGTATCACGATAATGAAATGGATCTTCATCATAATCATCATCATTGTCATCATCATCATCATGGAAGAAGCAAAGAAAGACGAAATTGAAGAAACAGAAGTAGAATTAAGGGATAAGAATATGAAATATAACCAGTAAGATACATTTTTCTTTCTTTTTGAAAGAACGAATAAGCAAATCAACGAAATAAATTCATAGAATAACCAAGTTATGAAGGCCTATTTGGTGAGAGACAATACATTGTTTGCTGTCATTTAGTTTCAATTGTATTGATCATAAAATTAACAAACTGCTATAGTGATTCCCCCCCTTTTTAAAAAAAATGTTATTTTACATATTTTTAATCATACAAAACTTGTTGGAAATTTTGTATAAATATTTGGTGGTGATATAAATTGATCATCTGATTGTGTATGAATTAATTGAGCATAACCAAGTGGATCCACTGGACTAAATAATATCATTGTACCTTCAGTAGATTGAGACATATCATTCTGAGATTCTTCTTTAGAATTATTATTATTAGTAGTAGTAGTAATGGTAGTATTATTATTTTCTAAAGATGAATTTAAAAATTTAGATTTTTCATTTGTATTATTATTCATGTTGACAGTAGTGACAGTAGTAGTACAACAATCTGGATTTGATGTAGGAGCACATACAGAAGTGACAGTTTTAGAAATGTGATTTGGGCCAGTATTACAGTTTGAGTGTCTATCTAACCATGAAACAGATAAACGATTCTTAGGTTGATGTTGTTGTTGTTGTTCGATATTATATTTAAGACAACATTTTGTATCAACTGTTTTCAATAGATCATTAGATGATTTTGCAGAATTTAATTTAGTTGAGAAATGTGTAGGTAGTATACTATCTTCATCTTCAATGTTATCATTATTTATTGGGATAGAACATAGTGGTAATGTTCCACTTCGTCTACGATAAGCCAAAACTCTCAATGTTGGATCATCCTGTTCAGTGGGTAATAATTCTGGGCTTCTTGATGATAGAGCACTTTTTAACTGTTCAACATTAAGAGAACAATAACAGGCTGGAGCTATCCAAAAGAAAAAAAGAAGAGATATACTTTATTTATATGACGGAAAAATACTTTGATGTAAATTTAAAGTTGATCGTTACTCCATAAGATCAAAAGTAATATGAAAATCTATTACTTGGTAGTAATTTGGATGTGATTGAATAGTTTATGAACATTAAATGAATTACATGTTAACCAAAAACCTTTCTCATGTTCTCATGTTCTTCAAAAATTAGTTAGGTTTGAAGCACAGGGAAATATCTAGAGCAACGCTAGTTAAAAAAATAACGAACCATTAGTACCTAAGGAATACTTTTAAAGTGTTCAACGTACTGAATACTGCACGTCACAGAAACCATCAGCTTATGAAGGTTATGATCTGAATTTTGTATGTACGACGAAAGCTTAGGAAACTTTAATATCTTTCTACCAACTATCTTTCAGTAAAGTAAATTTCTTTTATTTATTTCGCTTGCTTTGATACTCTCTTGTTATTAATATTTTTGCTACATCACCCTTCATCATACTTTCCTGAAGCAAATACTCACTAATTTCAAAAATCTGTTTATTCTCCGTTTCTACTTCAGCAGTCAAAATATATCAGCCATTTATTTTCAGTCGCAATATTCACTTCAATTGAATGCTGGGTCTAATCACTGAGGTAAAGTAAAATAAAATAAACTTGACTTCTTTTGTAAATCGTATTGTTTTTATCTAAGTCTAAGATTATCAGGAGATCCATAAGAACAGGTAATTTATATGGGCTCGTACTGTCTTGAAATTGATATTTAAAGTGAAAAAATATGTGCTAAAACGTAATACTTTCTAATTTAACAACTAATCAAGACAAAACTACCTACAGGGTAAGCACATAGGTATAAAATAAAGTCAGAACAAACACGAATGTAGAATAATATGAATTCATTATATTTTGTGGTTTCTCATCAGCTGTTTACAACCAAATATGTGTTAAAATTTTATATTAAGGTAAGATATAGTGTGAAATAATTGAAATTGAATTGGAATGATAAAGGTTATCAATAATAATTATATATGTGTGCAAGAACAGGTCGGAGGTCGTTTGGTGTTACAATAAATGGAAGAGCAATATAACAGAATATGCATTAATAAACTAAAACTAATGACCTTAAATGAATTAAAAGTGTAGTAATAGGTTTATTACTATCTCCTTTTGGATACATAGATCAGGTTTAAGTATTCTTCTCGCAATTGCTTCAGTAAACCGAAGAGAAGTAGTGTTTCTTTGTCTGCTAATAATTTTGAAAGCTTGAGGAATGTCAATGGTATACCTGATATCAGGTAAATACCGAGCTATTGTACTGTTAAGAACCCTTGTCCCTGAAAATCTTAATTTCTTTGGAACACGCTCAGAAATGCGAACATGTACTCTTTTCTTAGTTCTTTCAGTGTGTGTGCTTTGACACGTACATGTAAATTGGTAAATACAATTCGAGCTATTAAGAAAAGAAGACCTGTCAATTGTAGTTTGTTTGAGTGAGCGATTCGTTTTCCATAACGTCTTCACTTCTACTGATGGGTAAGTCATCTTTAACGCGGAATTTATCCTATGATTAATTATTTCAGTGATTTCATCTCCTTTGAAGCATAAGTATAAGAAGTAGGTTTTATTTTCAAATTGACTTCATTTCCTTACATTTAAATGTATAGCATAACTCGGGATTTTCATCCTCTTTTTTCCCATAACTGTTAAAATAAACTAGTTACTGAACAACTATTATAAGCCATAAAACAAGTGATAATCAACAATTACAGTGTTAAGAAATATGATATTTACTATGTCTACTTATTACTGAATATATATGAAGAATAGGTGTATATTTTCTTTTAAGTTTATTTTCTTCGCTAAATTAGAGTAAAAGTATCCATTCTATTTGTCACTTTGATCTTTTTGTCCATTTACACACTTATCTATTAATTAACTAAATTATTACATAGTAACTTGATTTAAACAATGAGTTACTGTCTTATATCTTTTTTAAACTTAAGTCATATGTTATATTCTTGATAGATTAAATAGTTTTACCCTACAAGAAAGTGTCAATTTACTATGAATGGATCGTCTGCTTAACTACTTCAATTTTCGGTGTTTACTTTGCCATTTTTTAAATTTTTTTTGTGAAATACTTTTACGAAAATGTATTGTATACGGTGAAGTATGATAAATGTAACAAATACGTTATCTACCATCGTTGATTCCTGATGAATCTTGCTGATTGAACGCTATATTCGGATTCTAAGCTAGTCTCGTAACCCTCAAGCTTAATCTACACAAAGACTTGAACATGAGAGAAAAGGCGCAAAATATGCGACAAACACTTTACACCAAAGATTCATTTATGTACAGAAAATATAGGGTTTTTAGAAGTCCTTGGGCTTTCCTGAATAATCCAGAATACTACTAAACATAGTAGCAGCGTAGTATTCAGCCAATCAGAACCTCTACATGTGACTTATCATTTTCGCGATATTACTAGCAAAACTTCTAACCAAACGCTGATTGGATAAAAATGCTTCTTGATGTTTCCTGAGCTTGTCATGTCTATTGAGAGAAATTTTCAGGATTGCCCCAACAATTTCATCTGAGGCATGTTCATTGAAATAATTTATAATTAGAATAATGTTTATAACTTTAATTCTGGAGATTGTAATAATTTAATAGTTACATTCATAAGTTGATTTGAACTAGACCACCATGGAAAACCTGGAAGTACTGAACGGTCATTTAGTCCTAATATGGGACTCCTCAGCAGTGCGCATCTACGATCCCACACGCGGGACTCGATGTCAGAACCTATGGCCTCGCGCCTGAATGTTTAACTTATCCAGTTTGGTTGATACTGAATAGATTAATCTTTTACAAACTACTAATGAACTATTGGAACAGATACTATCAAAATTGTTACACAACCAATCTATTCATATTCAATAACTGTTGAGATCTAACTAGTCTCATAGCACGTTATTTCATTATGAGGTTCCATATATCAATATTGATTTGAGCAATAGATATAATCTATGAATAAATATATAGGTGTTGTATACTCGAATTCAGTGCTTAATTATGAATGCCTTCATGATAATAAACTAGCAACCTTGAAATTTGAAATGAATTTCACTATTCAGCACCAAGCAAATCATGGTCAGCAAACTTCGAATAACACTTATGAAACAAAATGATTTGTTTATTCAAAATGTAGATTCTCAAGGCAGGATATTTATAGATAGGCAAAATTCACTCGGTATTGTTTGTTTGAATCTTCCCATTGATTTTTAGGACTGCAATCGATCAGTCTCTTATTGACATATGTGCATACTGTGCGTATTGCCTCGATATAGCTTAAATTCACAAGCATTATAAACAAAGATGATAAGTCCCAAACAGGACGAAATGCGCATCCTGGGTTCCACTGCTAGCCACTGTCAATCTATGCTTATGATAGGCAAAATTGTTGTTCAAAATTTAATAGTCATTTTTGATAGTCTATATTAAAAAATTGAATAATTCATCGGGTTTACGAAAGGCTATTGTGAAATAGTAATTGCCCTAGTATCAGCAAATTATAAGGCAGTTGAGTCACTACAATGTAAAATTGTATGATCTCGTTTTCAAAACTGATGCAATGTATTTTTGGTTTGATGGTAAGGTATTTGGTAAGAATGAATCATTTCATTAACTTGTCTGTAGTAGTCATGATAGATGTCTACTACCAGGAGGTTGTAAAATAATATGTAAAGTGTCTCGATTGACTAATACGATCTGAACATCATTCATATCTTCTTGTATGTTTTGCATTTATATCTCTTATTTATGCTTACGGTGTATTTAGTTGCCAGTTTACCTTTATTTGGTTACAACAATAAGGGCGAAGAAAAGAAATATTTTATTGATTAGACTTCAGATTCGTCTGACTATGCTTAGGCTGTGTAAGCAGAAGCGACTAGGTCACACAGGAGTTATATCTGGAAAGTACAAGATATTATTACTATCTGACCATTCGTTTTGATTGGAATTTACCAAATAAGTTGTATAATCATCAGTCAACTTTAATTGATACTGAACACTTTTCAATAAACTAATAATTCACCTTTTGTGATTATTAGGGTTTATTAGCAAGATGTACCAGAAAATCGAGAAAGGCCTAGTAGAATCCTGCTCATTCTTGTGGGAACCTATTTAAACATGGAACTGGAAGAGCTTTGAAAGAAGAAAGACATCGTTCTGTCTTCATTCGTATACTTATATGGTTCAACTTACATTAAGAGTAAGGCAATATATCCTTATAAGTTGAAATAATTCAACAAAGTACTAAGATTTCAAAAAAAGGTTATTCATTTCAGTTAACTATATTATCGGGTGATAAAAGCATTTTTTCCAACTGTGTATGAATGTGTTGTTTTTGAGACGTGGTCACAGATTACTTTTGAAGAAAACATTCTAACGTCTATTCAGTAGATGCACCATTATGAAGTAACAAACAGATAGTACACGGGTGTAATGTTTTCACCTATTTACATTAGTCACTCCCTGCACAATTACTTAGTATTAGTTATTTTTAAGCTTCTAATGTTGATAAGAACAAAATCACTGTTCACTAATTCTAAAAGAGCCATTTTTATTAATATCATCTTTAGAAATAACCATATGTACTAGTAGATTATTAACATGGATATGCACGTTATATAAGTTTAGAAACTTAATATTACTAGTTAAAGTGACTGAGGGTGTTAATTTAACATAAAGACTATTTTCAAATTTTGTGATGAAAATGTAGTAGTATAGTCCGTCAGTTACTGCATATTTATGGTGAAGTCTAGTATGTTCACGCTACATATAACAATAGATATATTTTAACCCATGTGATATTCCCCAATAAACATTTTCTTACATTCAATTATGCAAATTTCATGTTTCATTTTAATGTATGTGTAAGGACGGCTCCTCGGTAGACTCTAGGAAGCCTTAAGAAGCCCAGGAAGGGCCACAGACATTCCATCCAATCACTGCTAGGGGAATGTTCAAGAATGTCAACGTGTAGCTTCCCCATTGGATGGATTAGAATGACCCCTATGTGCCTATTGGTTGACCGAAATGATGATTTACATTCGGCCAAAAAACTATAAATACACGAGATTTCTGTACTATATTTTGACACTGATTTGGGGAAGAAACTTCCTACTTACTAGTCTTTGTCTTCTCTTTTGCGACGTTTCGGGTTCTATCGTTCAAGTAGTCTAGTAGTACGCGGCATATTAAGAATCAAGGCTCTAGATATAACAGTATGTATATGGCGATATTGTTTGTCGATCACTCTGACGACAGATCTTTTTTGAATATCATATTATGACATAATAAAGATTTGGTTATCTCTTGAGCTATATAAGAACGGTTTCATTAATTTTCAGTTAAATGGAAGAATATCCTTCGTTTCGGTAATTTTGATGAAACCATATGAGTAGCGCATGAATTTGGCTAATGGGAAGTACAGTGTTTTAACAAATCAAACACTCAAAACGATTTATTTTGTAAAATTCATTAATAGTTACGTTAATTTCATTGGTGTTTAATTGTCTGAAATAATCTATATGAAACCATGAACCTAGATTTTTCGTTATTTGACTATGGCTAGCGTGACATACTTTTATTCTCTTCATAAGGCACAAACCATTATTACTGTATGTCACAGTAAGAAAGGTAACAGTCGGACTGTTCTGTCCATGTCTGAACGTTTGCAACATTAAGATATCCAAAGTTATCAGTCAATAAGGAGTAGTCAGTGTTGTGTTGTTTAGTTTTGTGCTATGATTAAATTTTCCTGACCAAATTTCTATATGATCACTTTGATGAATTGAAGTAACACTGCAAACTACTGGTAGTATCAATGAATTATATACATTTTATAACTTACTTTGACGAAATGTTGCATTGTTAACACGAAAAGTATTGAGTGAACTTTGAGGTCTTGAATTAGGAAAATGATTTTCTATCATTCCTGTATCTGTACTACATCCATGACCACTATCCATACTTTCTATATCTTCTGTTATCTAAAAGAAGATAATGTTTTATCGTAAATATAGTTACAAAGAACTATTCATTGTATATTTATTTTACATCATCCATAAAGAAAAGAATAATTGAAAAAGAAACCAGACCACCAAGGAAAACCTGGGAGCACTGAACGGCCGTTTCGTCCCATTATGGGACCCCTCAGTAGTGCACATCCATGATCCCGCATTCGCGAGATCCAAACCCGAGACCTACCAGTCTCGCGCCAGAGCACTTACCCGATAGACCACTGAGTTGGCCGGCATCCAACGGTGTTAATTGTCTAACTTCAACCAATCCACGATTTTGAGCGACCGTTCACCAATTGTCTTCAGTGAGTTCCTATCTTACAACAGTTTGAACACTACTGGTCACTGCTTCTCACTAGAACTCCAAGATTTACCTCTCGAAGTCAGTCATTAGTGAGCATATGATTATAATCAGAAGGGGTTTTCCTTGTTGGTCTAGCTTCAATTGACTCACGCTTTCAACTATGAAAATACTAAATCTTCACAAAAAACCCCTTCTGTAAAAGAAACGTAATATTACTTTTCTTATTACAAAACTTGTTATAATAATAATAATTAATCCTTCAATGATAAATCATATGTTGCCTATTTAGACATTCAGAATTAATGCTTGATTGACATTTTATTAAAGATTAAATAAAAATAAAATTTAATATTTTATGAAAAACATTAAAGTAGAATAATTAATTAAAACGTGTTGTATATTTATATTATTATTATTATCATTACTATTACTATTATTATTATCATTGAGTGACAAGTAATCCACAGTACCATTGGATTGATTTATTAATGCAAAATTTAATTTGAAAAATCAAATTATTTTACCACTTATCAATCATTAAATAAGAAGAATATATTTGTAAAATCTCAGTGAATGAATTTGAAGTAAATCCAATGTTTCGCCTAGCAATCTGGTCCAAGCTTTCTCAAGGAGATATATTCTTTTTATTTAATGTTTTACATCCACTCGGCGCCCGAATACTGTGAAAGTATTTGCTTTAATTTAGACGAAAGTACTTATATACACTTATTAATCAGTAGATAACCTGTAAGTTACTGAACTTATTATATCTTATATAGTTTATAACATTTTAAATAATGTGTTATTACTCTTATCAAATAGTTTGAATTGGTGATTTTTTTCTTTTGATTCATTCTATTCAGTTTATTGTCATGGCATAAGAATGAAATCTAAAGCTTGATTTTATGGTGATCAGAGGTAGTTAACATGAAACTCTAACTACCTCCAATCACTATCTTATCCCAATACAGTGCATGTAATGTTGAGTCACCTTGACTGGCGACCACATTGCAACTTGATCGATAATATTCGATCTGTACTAAATAGGATCTGACATAAATGACATTGATCACCACCCAGTGATCAGTCAATAGTAAAACTGTAGATTATATATTCAAATTACTGAAAGTATGGGTTAGTTGGTTTGAAATAAGTAATTGTTTTTATTACAAGATAAGTTCTTCAACGATTTAGATCAACTTAAAGGACATGCATCGGTTGAACTGAATTTTCTTAAGAAAAACATGGAGGATTGAAGTTCTTCGAAGGAAAGCAACCTGGTCTTTCCATAGTTTGAATTTAATTTAATAAGGTGTGTATATTCATTTTTTTTTCTTTAAACCAGGTTCAGAATTGTTGATATAAATGAATACTGGTATTGGTTTTTGTTTTGTTTTTTTATTCGTTTAGTAATATATTCATTAAATTATAATCATTTGATTCTTTTGGTGTAATAACACAGAAAAGAAACGTATGCTTTTGATTAATTTACTGTGATTACATGTTAAAAGTTTAATATTTTCTTTGGTTTACTTTCACGGTATTTTATGAATGTTATTTAGATATTGCTTAACAGAAAAAAATTTATGCTGTTTAGAAGGTAAAATATATTTGAAAGGTTGAATCAAGATTATTCTGGAATTGAATACATTATTACTGAAAATCCGAAAAATTTCATTTTTTATATGAGTTCCTTGAATTGCTTTCAGTAAAGAACTATGAGTAAGTATCTTGGGTGTTCAAATACGTTTTCTGTACAAAATAGTCTATAATAACTTCGGAAATCACCTAAACAAAAAGATTCTTTTTTCTTTGAACGGTATCAGAACAGGTTACAGTATAATGGATTCGACAACTGAAGTGAACTGAAATTTGAGAATGTATGGGACTTTGATAAAAATACTGTTAAGTTTAGATCAGATAATATATAAATGGTCTGTTTAGGTAGATAACTCATCAACAAACCAAGTGTATCATCAAACTATCCCGTAGAGAATTATGAATGGTAACTCTGTGGATTATTTATAGACCAATATGATACGTATATTTCCTATTGTATAATTGTCGAGTGATTAAGTTATTCTTATTCGTGTCCTTCTTATTATAAGCTTTATTTTGACATATAGACTACTATTATACGTTTTACCATTCTTGAGTTATCCCTGGTCTATTAGTTACTATTCCCTTTATTCACAGCCACATTTGGCTGAATCTTGTACAAATGTTGTGTGCTGTTTTATGGTACGATGTGGTCAGTTTGTTTGGTATATAAACCCAGTATGTTTGAGAATAATGATTCATATATTGCAGAGGCTGTTATTGGTGTTCTGAACTTAACTTTCTGGACTAGGCAGATAGCAGGACTGATAAGTACTGAAGACTGCTCATACGGCTTCTGTGTATTATTGCTCTGATCGATAATTCACTCCTCTCTAATAGGCGGGGATCATCATTTCATATATCAAACAGGCCACACGTATGCACGCACAAGATATAACAATTGGCGACGAAACCGCCACCAAATGTCATTGAAGAGATAGAAAGTAACTTGGAAATTTTAAGTTCCGTGGATATTTGCTCCAAAAAACAACTATTTAGAGTGATCATAAACGGTAGAACTTATGAATACTGAAGTGATAAGGTACAACTATATAGATATAGCATGTTTACGATCTCAAAATATTTATCAATGTTTAATGGCCAAAAAGTTATAAACGAATACAGATACTCTAAATGAATAGATATTGTATATATACATATAATATTGTGATGTTAGTTCGCGTGAAATTATTCTTCCATAAACAGTTGCTTTGACATCGGTGTGAAAAGAATCTTCTAACTTTTTGCAGGATGAACATTAAATACTAGCCGAATATTTGTTTATCATTTATCATTGATTTGATAATGAAAATGAGAATGGTCACTTAGTAAAAAAATCACATTGAACTCTAACATTGAATTATCTAATATACTTCTATTATTAGAAATAAACCTCTTCATAAAAATAGTAAACTTATCCAAAAGTTAGTTTGTCAATAAGAGGAAAGACTATACAAACAAACAATTATCCATATAATATAGTTTTATTTATACACAATAACGAAATCAAAAATTATTAACGAAACTAATACAAAAAAAACTTTTTGTTACTATCCTCTATCCTTTTCTTCTCTTGCAAAAATATAAAAAATAATCAAATAATGATGAATAAAGTGATTATTGATTATTTTTTTTTATTTAGTTTGATTTATGAAAATTTTTCATTCAATATTTCTTTCTTTTTTTTTGAAAAATAAACGTTTACTACAGAAATAATCATAATGTGAGAAAATTTTAAAAGAGATAAATTTCAGCTTTTCATTTTCTTTATTATTTTTTTCCCTGTAAATTTAATTTTTCACTATTATTACTGTGGTAATGTGTGTTTGTTTGTTTGTATATATGTGTGTGTACAATAACTAACGGATAATGAGAAAATTTATCAGCTACTTAAAATTTTTATTTTTTTGAAACTAATTTACTATTTTACAAATCAGTGAGTTATTATAGTGGAGAAAAAAATAATTTTTTGTGATTTATTTATAAGTTTTTTTTCCAGAAGTTTTTCTGGGTTAAAGAAAAAGAAAGCAACAACAAATAATATTTCATAGTTCAAATGATTCAAGTTAATGATTCATATGTGCTCGTTTGAAAGAAATAGGAGAAAGAATTTTGATCTTCATATTTGTTTATATTAAATATTCTTCTCCTTCGTTTTGATAGTTAACAAAGGAATATGACAATTTCAGTCTAGTTAAGTATTTCTTTGTAGCATTTTAACACTTGATATTGATGAATGAATCATAATGTCAACTTATATCACTAATTTGTGTTACTTACGCCTGTTACTCTCAATGGAGCATGGGCCACCGACCAGCATTCTCCAACCCACTTTGTCCTAAGCCTTCATTTCTAGTTCTATCCAATTATTGTTCATTCTTCTCATGTCTGTCACCATTTCTCGGAGTAATGTGTTCTTTGATCTTCCTCTTCACTTTTGACCTTCACAAATCCATGTGAGGGCTTGTCTTGTGATGCATTTGGGTGACTTCCTCAATGTGTGTCCTATCCACTTCCAGCGCTTCTTCCTGAGTTCTTCCGCCGCTGGATACAATCTGGTTTGTTTTCTCCCATAGTAGGTTGTTTCTGATAGTATCTGGCCAACGGATCTGAAGTATTTTGCGTAGACAACTGTTAATAAACAGTTGTATCTTCTGGATGATGGCTTTCGCAGTTCTTCAAGTTACCGCCCTATACAGTAGAACTGTCTTGACATTTGCACTGGAAATTGTGATCTTGGTGTTGGTTAACTATTTTTTTGAGTTCCAGATGTTCCTCTCTTGCTTCTCTTGCTTTGCCGATTCGCGCCTTCACATCTGCATCAGATCTACCGTGTTTATCAATGATGCTGTCCAGATATGTAAATATATTTACGTCATCCAAATATTCTCCGTCAACTGTGATTCGATTGGTGCATGCTGTATTGTTATTAGTAAATTCTGACTACGGATATCATTTAACTGAAAAGACTTCAACAGTCGTAAGACACCCTTCATTATAGTATTGGTGCATAGCAGATAATTACATGTCAATAAATGGATAATATGTTAATAAAAATACCGAAGGTGGCTTACTAAAAGCTATTGATCCAATAAATAACCCAGGATGCTTAAAAAGGCCAGGTAATCTAGACTACTCACTGGATATCAGTAATAGTTACTCTTAGTGGGTTGATCCTACGTCTTAACTTCTTATTCATGCATAATAATGTTTCATCTCAGTAAATAATTGTTTGATTCGTTTATTTTATAGTTTTTATTATATAAGTCTATGGTCTACTTATAGCACTGCGCTGAATCCCAATTACTTGTCTTCCTAATTTCCCTAGTAAATCCATTCACGGGCAAGTTCACTTTTTTGTTATTCCAAGAAAACCAATTAACTTGACACTTTAAATATTTTTTATTTTATTTTGATTGATCACTGCCAAAGATCTGTCAGCTGCAAAACTAAAAAAGGTAATGTGACGGAAGAATTCTAACAAATAGATAAAACTAACCATCCCATCCTTTTAACTTACTTCGTTGGGTGAAGTTAAATTTCTTATAGAACCAGGATCTCTATACGATGGTGAATTAATACGAAGGTCTGAAATTTGTGAAGAACCTGCTTTAAAAGTTGAACAAGTTTGATTTTGTTGCCTGAGGGTTGGACATGCTCCCATCAACAATTTCAATTCATGATCAGGAGAATCTTCAGAAAAAAATTAAATAAAAACGTTCTAATTAGTGCATGAAATAGTGTCTAATATGTATAACCATAGTTTCCATAACAAAATAAAAATAGTAAAAATTTAGGAATCAAAAGGATTGTAAATTTTTTTATTATATTATTAGATTTTCTCACAGCTCAAAATGCAACATAATGTTTCCATATAAACCAACTGACTGTAAACTGTTATTTGTTTTCACTAATATGAAATAGGTTTAATTATATTGGTAATTAGCAATATATAATGAAAATTACTTTTCAATTCTTGGTTAGATATATTTAAACACTAAAACAACGGGTGGTTAAAGCGTTGTCATTAATTTACGAACCTAAGAACTGTTATAAGAACTGTTTAAAATCACCAGTTACCTTCGAGGGGCAAAGACTGAGTTGCTTTTTCGCGTAGTGCTTCCTGATTAGTAGGTGATCTTTTCACCCACGAACTAAAGGAAGTGGCACGGAGGAGACCGAACTGTTTATGCCAATATGTACTCGTGGAATTGTGTTGAGTTATCTACACTTCCTATAATTGCATGTTGTAGTATGGGACTCCCCAGCAGTGCGAATCCACAATCCTGCTCTCATGATTCGAACCCATGACCTATTGGTCTCGAGCGCGAACGGGATCGTGGATTAACGACAAAAGTTATATATCCATATAATATACTTGTAATTACTAACAAATATATGCGATAATTTTGTTAAAATACAGATGATATAGTGACAAAGAATAATCAACAGTAAGGACTACAATTACATAACTTTTGTTTGTATATACGCTTGCTTGATTATGTTAATAACCTTTTAATAAAATTTAATAATGTATGCTTAAAGATTGATTGATAGTCTCTTCTGTTAGATATATATCTTAATCGATATCAGTACATAGTGTGACCATGTCATTTTCTCTATTTTATGCATCTTTTATATAAATATTAGTCACACTCTCTGACAAAATGAAGAATAGCGTATATGATCCATGTTATATAATCCTATTCTTTCCTCTTGCTCATACAAAGAAGTATGAATATATAAATAAACGAAACATCTAGGTTTGTGTTATAATGCCTTTTCGCCTCTTTTCGGTTAACTTTCTTTCGCATAGTACAAATCACATTGTATTTATAAGTTTGAAAAGTAAAGTATTACAAATATGCCTATAAGTTATGAGACTTAAATAATTAATTTGTCAAATCTGACAAACATGTATTCACTTATTGTTAGTATTCAAGCGAATATCATTTTAAAATTGGTTACTGGGATTGTTGATATTAAACTAATCTTAATGATTCATGTCATGCTAGAGAAGTGATAGAAAAATTCAATATGTTGATAAGCAAATCTACTATAGGGAAAAGGCAGTTCCAGTAAGTGAGGTTGAAATTAAAATCAGGGGAAAATCAAGTGAGAAAGACCAATTTATTGTTTAATGCACAATTACACAATGGTTCAGTAAAATATAAAAATCATACATCGAATACTTCATTTGCATATCTTCTTTAAAATCATCTCTTAAACGCTTCGCTGTTCCTTCATTCCTGTTGCTTTCTTGCTTGCTTTAGGTTTTCTTCTCTCTTCTCTTTTTTCAATCTTCTTAAACTTCTACGTACAGATGTTTCACTTCCGATTGATATTACGTAATACTTATATCAGCATATATAAGTAACTTTCAGCGCACTACTACTGCTACAACTGATACTAATAATACCACTATTAATATTATTATTGATAGTAAATAAATGTAAGTTGTCTTGAGTAGTAGTAAACTGAAAGATTTTCAAAAAATGTAATCAAAATTTAAAATAATCCTTCTGAGGTTTCAGAAGCGAAATTGAAGTTAATTTATCTACTAGCCAAAGCATTCTATTACAGATTTCGATTCATATTGTTAAGTTGTTCTTTACACATACCATCCACCAGTTAGCCAAATCTAAACAATCAGTCAATTAACCAGCTGTCTTTATATACATAAATAAATAGCATCTTTTTTATATCAACCTTTAGAACAATTATAAACCTACTAAGGTAATAAAAAGAGATGAAAAAAAAAATAATTTTACCGATGGAAAACTAATATGACAATAAAGAATGGAAGAAATATCAATTCAGTACCATAGACTAGACAGTATTTTCGCTATTTTTTCTTTCTTTGAAGAGGATTCGAAGAAATTGGCGTCGTTATTCTTCCAGCTTTTAAATTATTTAGTAGACATCATAAAATCTTCTGATTATTACGATGCTAATTAAAATGAATGGTCTGTTATTTAATGGTTTGTTTTAAAAATGGTATCAAAACTATTCAGTATGGAAGTATTATATTACTTGAAGTTTATAGTATTAACTTATACTAGGACGATTAGCTTAATTGTTATTTTATTTCAGAGAAGAAAAGTGTTATGGATTATTATTTATGTTGTTTGTATTTTGAAAAAAAGTATTCTATCAGAAGGGGGTTTTGTGGAGATTTTCGTAATTTAATAGTTGAATTCATGAGTCAATTAAAGCCAAACCGGCTTAGTGGTTTAGAGGTTAAGCGTTGGCGCGCAAAACCGATAGGTCCTGGTTTTCAATGCCGAGAGCGGGATCGTGGATGCGCACTTCTGAAGAGTCCCATCTTATGGCGAAACGGTCTTCCAGTGATTTCAGGTTTTCCATGGTGGTCTACCTTTAATTGACTCATGAATTCAACTAATAAAAGTATTTTAAATTGAGAATAACCGTAAATTCTTTCAAATGTTATGAATAATAACATTTACCTAATGGTTAGTTTAACTAAACAAACTTCAGATATATAGAACATCAAATGAAGTTTTGTCAAAGGTTATAAAGTAAAGGAAACAGAAGTTTACTTTCTCAAATAAACTATATAGATTTCCAGTTTCATTAAATTGTTGACAGACAATAAAAGAATGACAACTCAACTGATTACAGATAACTATTTCATCCAGTTTTTTTGTAATTTAGTAGATTGAAAGTATCCCCTAATAAAAAACAACGAAATGATGTTGTTTCATTAACACTTACAGATGTACATTATTTCCATTTTGTAAGAATCAAATATATGTAAAATCGACTTATTCTAATGATTATTGGATATATGGTTGGTAAGATATCAGTGATTATAGACTAGGAATAAAACAATTAATATCACAAAAGAGTTCTGTTTTGGATTGTCAGTGTAATGTTTTAACATTATGGAGATCTTAATCATTTCGATGAATGATATCAAAAATTCATTTGAAGAAGTACCTTCAAGAGGTATATGAATATTTTACGGTAATTAAGTATCAGTATAATTTCCTGTTAAAACTGGTGATAACAACTTACTTTTAGTCGATCCAGTGTCAAGAAAGCGTTCTTCAACAGGTTTTAAACGACAGATTGTTCCCGTCTGACTGGCTCGTTTCAAATTAGATAAGTCATTTAATTTTGTAGGTGAAGGATGAAATGGATGTGTTGAGTTGAATAGCTTATGGGATCGTAAAGTATCAGGCTTTTTGGGATCCACTGCAGCCATCATCCACTGATTTTTCTCTGCATTTGATAAAAAGCTTCTTATCATTTTTTCCGAATCTGTAGATTGAGACGGGTGATGAAGATGATTTGGTGGAGGAAAAGTATTTAAACCTCCTTCACTCAATAAATGTTCAGCTCCTGGTGAAAGCAAACCATCTACCTCAAGCATTCCAGAATCTCTAAAAACTTCTTCAAGATGATGTGTATGATTAAGGCCCTGTCTATAAAATCTTGGATTGTTTTGTTCACATTGTGTTGTATTTCGTTGAGCACATGCACCACAGCGTAGAAATAAAATTGCTAATATGAGTATTAACGATATTATCAATGTTACAGCGACCATAATTACAATTACAATTAGATCATTTTCCAAATAGGCTCCGTGTCCGACAACTGTGCTTTTCTGTCTATCATGTTCGCTAACTCCAACAGTGTCACCGTCATTTTCACTCAATAAATAGGCACTTGTTTGTGATAAATAACGAAAAATATCAATCTGTAAAACTCTATGATTAACTTTGGCTGGATGACCACGATCACTTGCTTCTAATACTAATTTAATCGATCCAACATCATCTATGCTCATTGATCGACCAACATAAATGGCACCACTTATGGAATCCAGTTCAAACAAATTACCGACATTATGTGATGGTATATATCTCATGTCTGTTTTGGGGACAATTTGTACATTACTATTAATAGTATTATCTAAACGTGTTGATGGACTGGTCATTATTGTTCTATCTACTATATTCGGCATATTAGACATAAAACTAGTTTGAACAAGTCGATAAATAACTTCACCATTTTCATTTTCATCTAAATCTTCAGCAATTAATTGAGCAACACGATAACCAACTGGTTCATTAACGGTTAAATTTATAATCTGATGATTATGCGCTGGAAATATCCATTGTGGTGAATTATCATTAACATCGATCAAATGTATATGAACCTGTGTAGAAGAGGATAATGTAGGGAGTCCAGAATCCATAGCAACCAAGTAAAAATTATAAGCTGGTATTTTTTCTCTATCCAAATTACCACGTGCCACATAAATATAACCTTTACTTGATACACGAAATTCATGAATTACTTGACCTTCTATTTGTGGTTTAATAAGGTAATGTATCTGTGGGAAAGATTTAGAAGAAATACAAATTATGTCATATATTCATTGAGAATTTGAATGTAAACAAAGTCAGATGATACTAAATTATTTCTCAAAAATTTTTTTTAACAGAAAGTGGATATTGGCTTAAGAAAGATTAAAAATTAAGACTTTTGTCTCTACTATACTATAACTTATCAAGATTCTATGTTCAATATGAAGGCAAAGTATAAGCTCCTCATTAGTAGATACATTTTATTGGTTTTTACAGGTTTGTGCAGAAATTTATTTTTATATTTATCGAATTTCTTCAGTTCACTAATTCCATACTTAAGATCAAGAGGTCTAACCGAATACTGCACAAAACCCGGTTTAACAAACTCTGATTTTTAGATAGTTCACTTTAAAGTAGAGAATCATTTTTTGACTACTAAATATCGTCAAATCAAGACTGATATACATGTCTAATAAATACTACCTCATTTTCTTACAAAATACAAGTTCATAATGTACTACAACTTAAGGTATATTCGAAAATGAGATTATTTATTCAATAAAATTAAAAGAGCGAAAATTCCCAAGTTACTATATATTTTCATCGCCACTAGTTTTAGTTATGCTGAATTAATACTATGATCAGAACAAGATGGATTAAACTGAAAATTTCAAGTCATTATGGTTGTTAAAAACATGTTAAAAATTTACTTTGCAACCAATGCATTTTATAAAAAAGGGGGCTTATTGTCTTGAATTCTATTAAGTGTCAGACGTAAACAGTTAGTTGTTTTATTAATCAAAACTCATGTTGTAACTTAACTTAAATAATTGTCCAAGTAATTAGTTATGTACCAGAGAATTGATAAAATAAAAAAATTAATTAAACAGTCCGTATTATGACCCAATCTTTTTATATTTTGGAAGAAATGTCATTTTAATGGAGTATTAGGAAATAATGGATAGGACCCACATTGAGGAAATCACCCAACTGAGTCACAAGGCAAGGCCTCACATGGAATCCTGAAGGTCAAAGGAGAAGATGAAGACCAAATAACATATCACGCCGAGAAATAGAAACAGACATGAGAATAATGAACAATAATTGGACCGAACTAGAAATGAAGGCTTAGGACAGAGTGGGTTGGAGAATGCTTGTCGGCGGCCTATGCTTCATTGGGAGTAACAGGCGTAAGTAAGTAAGTAATTAAGAAAAAATCAAACATTTAAATAATATTACCTAAAGATGATTACTTAATTGTTCATTTTAACCCCGTATCATGCAGCAAGTAACACTAATTAATAATTAAAAGATATAAATTACTATTTGAGTATAATTGAACAATTTTTTTCATTGACTAAAAAAATTAACTTTTTGTGTATTTCTGCTTGTATTTAAGTATTTCATTTGTTGAGAATGTTCCCTCTCTTTTTCTGTTTTGACATTTTGTAAACTACTTCAATTAAAAAATCATTATATTGGCTTAAACATTAAAAGTGTAAAATTCACATAGAAACTATTTTGTAAATAGAAAAAATCCGTTTTTCCTCCATTTATAAATTTTTATTGTTCATAACTGAAAAAATAATTCAATCAAAAAGACAAAACTAGATTTCACTATTCTTTACTTATGTGATAAATCAATAAATTTATGTATGTGTAGTACCGTGCTTCGTCAATCGTTCACCCTGATGACCGTTATAATTCTAATCTTAACAGCGTATAGAATCAGATGGCAAAGAGAAACAGCAACTACAGTTTATTGTCAAATAACTCAGGTCAGAAAGCTACCAGCACCTGAGCGAATATCAGCGAGCGAGTAGCAAGCAATTACATAGGCAATTTATAGTTAAAACAAAACAAAAGCTGACAATAGGATTTGCGTGCATACATATATGGGGAGGAGTATGAGTCATCGAATGATACTTAAGCAATCAACATTTTGGCTAGTGTCATGTGCTCTAGTGGTCATAACAGTACAAAGAATATGCAAATTGTTATTATTTAAATGACGATGTCTGTTAAAGTAAGTTAATACAAAGGGCTTAACTAAAATTAACCATAATCGAAATTGATTGTAGGATGGTTGATATATATGTATATGACTAGACAAATAAATAGACAAATATCAATTTTTCAAATAGTTATATCGGGTAAAACTGTCTAATTTAACAATTGACTAAACAGATAAAATCATTTAAATCAAGAATGTAAAAAATAAATCCTTTGTTTTTCGTTTTTTTAAATGTGATAATGAAGAGGGATGATTTTCTTTAACTCATATATTTTTTTATACATAGTTTAAATCTTGATTTTATGAGAGCTAGACCACCATGGGAAACCTACAAGCACTGGACGGCCGTTTCGTCCAAATGCTGGACTGCTCAGCAGTGCGCATCCACGATCCCACGTCGCGAGATTCGAACCCAGGACCTAGCAGTCTCGCGCGCGAGCACTCAACCGATAGACCACTGAGCTGGCCGGCATCCAACGGTGTTAATATTTAACTTCAACCAATCCACAAGGTTGAGCAACCATTTCACCAATGTCTTCAGTGAGTTGATATCTGGTAGGTTCAGGGTTAGAAACTCGCGGGGTGGGGTCGCGGATACGCACTGCTGAGGAGTCCCACAATAGGACGAAACGGCCGTCCAGTTCTTCCAGGTTTCTCAGGGTGGTCTAGCATCAATTGACTCATGATTTGAACGATATATAAAATATCACTAAAAATCTCCACAAAAAACCTCCTCATATATTTTCGTTAACAAACTATAGATAAAATATAAACTGAAAGTTTATGAGTTATACTAAATGAGAATTCAATAGTTTTCATTGATAAAACGAATGCTATGAATAAGAAATTTTTCCCATAGTAACTAAAAAGATTCTTTTCTAATTGATATATGTGTGTTCAAATAATTGATTTGTGATATGGATACAAAAATGGTTATTTTAAAAATGATTTCGATCAATATTTATTGAACTATTGATAATAAGGTAGCATATTAGATATCACTTTGTAACTTTTTAAAAAAATCTGAGTATTCTTAACGGCTTCAGTGTATTTACTAGTGAGTATAGACTGGATATCATCCATGGGAACATTCAGATGTAAAAAAGAATAGAGTTAAATGATACAATAAAAATGAACGAACTAAGAGTGATTTAAGCAAACTAAAAATCTAAAAGGACGAAGCGCGCATTCTGTATTCCACTGCTAACCACTATCCATTTTAGCTGATTATACTTGTGAATTAAGGCTATATCGAGGCAATACGCACAGTATTCACATATGTCAATTAGAGACTGACCAGTTGCAGTCCTAAAAACATCAATGGGAAGATCCAAACAAACAATATTAACTGAATTTAAAAATCTACTTAGTTCTCTGAACTATGAGAGTTATAATTTAGTGCATAATAAGTTCATCATGACTTTCATTTATAAGAAAAGTATATCAATTAAATATTCGTAGACATATTCTTTATTAAAAAGGGGTCCGTAATTTATGTAAATTTATTAACTGATTGAAAAAGTCAGTGTTAGTTTATTTTTACAAAAACAATCATTTCACCATTTCTAATGACGACATAAGACATGTAAAATTAGATTTACAAATTGGTTAGATACTCAAATTGATTATATGAGAGTAAAGATGATAAATGAGTTTAAAAAGTAAGTGTGAAATTAAAAAGTTATTAATTGTTAGAATTATATCATAGTAATAAACCAAAATTAAAGGAGGTACGTTTAACGTAAATTTCATGGTCAGGATAAAGAGAAAGGTTGTACAAACGTTTTCTAGTAACAGAGGTCAGATTTATTTAAACGTATTCCTATAGGTTCGGCTGTGTGTAAGAGGCGACTTCTGGAAGCGTTAGGTAAATTAAACGGTATTCTTTATTGCAATTTTAAATGGTACATTTGCAATGGCTTGACGGGTCTCATCGAGTATTTACTTCAGGCATGAATTCTAATATTATGACGCACGGAGATGGATTCGTCTCATAGTGCGCTCAGTGTAACTGGCTTTACACGAGAAGCGAAACTGATAAATACACATTGGGGTATAGGAATATGTAAGTTTATTGTTGTTTCAAGAGATAAATATTGGTTGGTTAAATAAAACAGAAATTACTGTAGCTCTACTCAACGATTTGCTTACACAATAAGTGAAAGACTGATTGAACATCATCTTTGAATTGCAATATAATGAACATACGTCTTCTGGTGTTGTTGGCAACTTCGGTTTGGCTTTCGTTCAAGACATATGTTCTGTTTGGAACCTTTTTTGCTCAGTAGCTTACAGATTATCCTAAGCTCCTCTGAGACAGATTTTTTAAGGGGATAACATTGACTCTGTGAGCCAGATAAATACCTAGTTTTTTACACTGTGAGACGAAGCCGGAATGTGAAAATGTACAATAATCTTACTGAGACGTGATGAGGAGTAAAATGAAACAAAGTTTTTCCTCGCCTAAGTTATATTTTAAATGAATTATTATTTTTTTAAAATTAGGTCTGGGTAGCTAAAATTGAATTGGATTGGTCAGTATAAGCCGCGTACATAAATGTTTTCACTAAGTTTGTCAATGAAATTCATAGAAAGCAAAGGTCTATGTTAATTGCGTCTTGCCTAATAAGAAACTATGTCGTTAGTGAAATTAAACAATCCTATATGATTGAGTGACAAAATCTTTCGGGATATTGAGTCTGTAGAGACAAGAAAACGTTATTCAGCTCTAGACAAATCATCCATTAAGCTGAACCACTTATGTGTTAGATCAAAGATCAACGATCGTTAGACAGACTGTCGAATGTAATGAAGGATGACTAACGGCGATTAATCAATTACACACCATGGACCGGCCGATGTGACAATAGTCGCATTTTCCCTTCAGCTTATTCCTACCAATACATTTCCTCAATAATGTCATGGTTTTTCTATTGTCATCAAGATAGCCACAGTATCTGGGTACCACGAAAGTGTAAGCAAGAGGTAAGATCTCGATGTAATCTGAAAGGC